CAGCCATAAAAAGGAATGAAATTGGGTCATTTGTAGAGACGTGGATGATTCTAGAGACTGTCATACAGAGTGAAGTAAGTCAGAAAGAGAAAAACAAATATCATATATTAATGCATATATGTGGAACCTAGAAAAATGATACAGATGAACCGGTTTGCAGGGCAGAAATAGAGACCCAGATGTAGAGAACAAACGTATGGACACCAAGGGGGGGTAAGTGGCCAGGGGAGGGGGCTGGTGGTGTGATGAACTGGGAGATTAGGATTAACATACATACACTAATATGTATAAAATGGATAACTAATAAGAACCTGCTACATAAAAAAATTAAAAATAAATACATTTTTTAAAAACATATTACAAAGCTACAGTAATTAAAGCAGTATGGTTCTGGCATAAAGACAGACATATAAACCAATGGAACAAAACAGCTTAGAAGTAGACCTACACATCTATGGTCAAATGATCTTTGATAAGGGTGCCAAGACTATGCAATGGGGAAAGGATAGTCTCTTCAACAAATATGCCTGGAAAACTGTATATCCACAGACAAAAGAATGATATTGGACCCTTATTCTACACCATATACAAAAAATAAATTCAAAATAGATGAAATATTTAAATGCAAGAGATGAAACTATAAAACTCCTAGAATAAAACACAGGGAAAGCTTCATAACATTGGGGTCAGCAATGATTTCTTAGACATGATAACAAAAGGAAAAACAGACAAGTGGGACTACATAACTAAAAAGCTTTTGTGCAGCGAAGGAAACTATCAACAGAGCAAAAAAACAATCCACAGAATGAGAGAAAATATTTGTAAACTATATATCTGATAAGGAGTTAATATCCAAAATATATAAGAACTCCTACAACTCAAGAGCAAAAAAAAATGTCTTTTTTTTTAATGGGCAAAGGACTTGAATAGACATTTCTCCAAAGAAGACATACATGTACCCAATAGGTACATGAAAAGATTCTCATCATTAATCATCAGGGAAATGCAAATCAAAAGAACAATGCAATATCACCTCACACCTGTTTGGATGGCCATTCTCAAAAAACAAAACAAAACAAAACAAAACAACAAAAAGTTAACAAGCGTTGGTGAGGATGTGGAGAAACTGGAAACTTGTGCACTGTTGGAGGAAATGTAAATTGGTGCAGCCACTATGGAAAACAGAGTGGAAGTTCCTCAAAAAATTAAAAATAGAACTATCATATGATCAAGCGATCGCACTTCAGGATATTCATCAAAAAAAAAAAAATGAAATCGGGATCTCAAAGAAGCATCTGCACTCCCATGTTCACAGCAGCATTATTCACAATAGCCAAGAGGTGGAAACAACCTACATGTCCATGGACAAATGAAAGAATAAAGAAAATATGGTATATGCATGCAGTAGAGTACTATTCGGCCTTTAAAAAGAAAGAAATCCTATCATCATTTACTACAGCATGAATGAACTTTGAGGACACAATGCTAAGTGCAATAAGCAAGTCAACAAGAAGGGCAAATACTGCATGATTCCAATCATATGAGGTATCTAAAGTAGTCAAACTCATGGAAGCAGAAAGTAGAATGGTGGTTGCCAGTGGTTGGGGGCAGGGGAAGAAATGAGGAGTTATTGTTCAATGGGTATAGAGTTTCAGTCTATGAAAAAGTTGATAAAAGATGAAAAAGTTCTAGAGATCTACTGTGTAACATTGCACATAAAACTAGAAGTACTGTGCTGTACACTTAAAAATTTGCTAAGAGAAAAAAAAATTTGCTAAGAGGGTAGATTTCATGTTATGTGTATTTTTAGCACAGTAAAAAATTTTAGGGACACATCTACATCTTAATAAATGATTTTATAACCAAGAAATTATTCATTGAAATTTTTAAATTCACTGAATAGGTTACAGAAGAATCAGCTCAAGACAAAATTAGTTAACTCCAAATACATTTGAGGAAATTATACAAAATACAGCACAAATAGAAAGGAATATACAATCTGCAGGAGGGAGTAAGAAACAAAGACTAGAAAAAAAGGTTTAACATATATCTAGTAGGATAATAAGAGAGAATGGTGAAAAAGCAATATTTAGGTCTGACTACTCACAGGACTCTATTCTCCTGGACACAAAGTTTGGCCCGAGGGTGAGGATATGTTGAAACATGTCTAAATAGAGTATCTCCTTAGGGTAGATATATGATGTTGGGAGATTTAAGAACTTTTCACTGGATTGCAAGGTACAATGTCAGAATCAGGGTATTGTGCTTTGGGTGGTGGGGGGTAGAGACACGTGCAGCATGAGATGGAAACTTTTATAATTCCGTAACTTTGTTCCATACCTATTTTATTCTTTCCTTCAACAAGTTACATCCAGGGGGAACCCAAAAAACAAAAGCACACACTTCTGAGCATGCACTGTGAACCCAACACTTTCCTAGGCAATGGGAATAAGATGAGTTAAGACCTGATCCACGGAGAATCAGAACATCAGGGGCTGAAAGGGACCGAAGGCAGCCTCCTGGTGTCACATTCAGAGCTCCTCTGCTCTGTCTTCCTCCCTCACAATTCTAGAGCACCGTGTGCCAGGCATGACAATGATTGAGAGCTAAATAAAGGTATTTTAACCTCCTCTAGACCCTGGTTTGAGTTCATAATGAAATGAAATGCGCCAGCCTCCCTCTGGTAGCCAGGGTCGCTCTCCCCGTGCTCTTTTGGCAGAAGCATCTCATTTGAAACAGCTTGGCCTCCCTGGGCTCTTTGTAAGGATTGGTGGGGATGAGTTTTGATGTTTTACGATTGTTGTGAAAAATCCTCTGCTCACAGCCTAAGAGAGAGCAAGGCCATGCATAGAGTGGGGGCCAAATCATCAGGCACTGGGCACGCTGGAACCTGTAGCCAGATGACCCTGGATGGCAGTGGGGTCTGCTGAGTGATCAGGACGGGGCAGCAGACACAACGATTAAATAGGGACTGTTGAAAATGAAAGAAGACACTGCAAAATAAAAAAGCACTGCCGTACTACACTCTAAACAAAATGGATTAAAGAATCCACTTAAATCCTTTTGCACTTGAGTGAAAATTCAAGTAAGTCAGCTCAAAAGATTTCTGGATCAGCAGCTTACCTTCAAGGCGGCTAAATGTAAGTTGCTCTTTCTTCCTAGAAATCATTCCTTTAACTTCATTAGACATAGGGTGACTTTTTAAAAAATTTGCTTAGAGACAGTCTTAGTTTATATCTGTGTGTCAGGTTTATCTTTTTCAGCACCAGTTCCGGATTTTTTAAACAAAGTATTATTATTAGCACTATTATTATTATTTGCATTAAAGTTAGCCAGGATGGGCTTAGTAGACTTCCAGTGAGATGCTGTGATGTGACTCTCAGAGCTCCCATCAGAACTGAAAGACTATTCCCTAACTGCCAGGAGGGGCTTCTGGCAGAAAGCCCCATGAGGCCACACCCCCTTCCCAGGGTACCCACGCCCAATGACTGGTTTATGTGAAAGTACAAATGTCCAGCCCCCTCACCCAACTTCAGAGCTCCCTACGGGGTTGGCCCATGTTGAGGCTGCCTCATAAGCCAGCTTCTCCTTCTGCCCAATCCTCCTGTCTTTTCCGAGCCTATGGTCCCAAGAGCACTCCCTAACAAACTCCTGCACCCCAGTTTCCATCTCAGCAGGCCACAGCCTCTGGCAGTCACCACTTGGTGCTTTTACTTCCTACCATGGGCTTGCCTAGTAGCATATGAGGCACAGATAGCGTGTTCTCACTCTGGTTAAATCCAAGGATGCTGAGATAACCCATCTCACTTTTCCCAATCTTATTCAGCCACAACACGTGACGGACAAAGTGATGCCCAGACGGCTCTTCAAAGAAGGATGTGCTGCCTAGCTGTGGGCAGTGCAGTGAGCAAGACGGCCTCTAGCTGTCAGCTTCAGGGAGTGCCTCAGCTGCAGAGAGTGGCCCCACCAAATGTCATGCCCCTTCCAGGACAGCCCATACTTGGTGACCAGGTGAGGTGTGCGTATAAAGATCCAGCCACTTGGGCCCTATATGGGACACCTCTGATGGGCCACACTCATTCCAGAACTCCCAGCCAGGTTAGCCAAGGCATCGTCAAGCCTGCATTGAAGTTGGACAGCTCCCTCTGCCCAGTCTTGCTTTTCCCTCTTCCTTTAGTGGAACCCCTTGAGCCCCAAACTTCCTCTCAGCAGCTGCTTCTGGGTAATTCAATCTGCAACACAACACCTCTCTTTTCAGGACAGCTTATGGGGTGTCCACTTAACAAAGAAAGTGTGTTAGGAAACTAGCAGCTAGGAACAGCTCCTTCCCATCTGGGAAATGGAGAAAGAAGATTTGGTGTTGCTGCCTCTGCTGGCCCCTGGGATACTAGCCAGTTGTGGGGAGAACACTGTTTTAATTTGAGAGATGCCTGCTATCAGCAGGCCACCATTCGTGCAGTCTGTGGAAAACAAGTCTAGGTATATGTGAAATATTTATGGAAAATAAAGACTGAGTAGTCCTCTGTCCCATAGAAAATAGAAAGTAATATAACTGCTCCTGCTACAGTGGTATGCTGCATAAATCTACAACTATTCTGTATTTATTTGGTAACACTTTTAAAATTGGCAACAAATATTTTCACATTAATGGGCTCAAAAAAATGAAAGGGACTGTTTAATCAACAAATACTCCATTCATGAGAAAGTTGATGACAAACCTATAAATTTCAAAATGTTTATCAACACTGACGACCTACCATGGGGACCATATAATACCACTGATTCCACAAAATTCAGAAGACACAAAAATGCTGAAGCATCAACACCAGCTTCCAAAGATTGTGCCTGAAGACAGTGACCTAACACATACACTTTTGGAAAGCATGTGGCAAAGCAAGACTTTGCATTTAGACCAAATAGCTGTTTCTCTAAATTCATTTTACTCTAAATATTAATTAATATATAACATTAACTTTATTCCAGTTTTCTTGTGCACATACCAAAATTGTAGCTGTTAACGCACTGGCTCCAACGCAGAAACACAATTAAGTGATGCCACTTTCACATCAGTGTAATCAGGCCCTGTGTATTGGAAAACGATTATTTTTCAATAATGATTCAATTTTTTACATGTCATGGTACCAAAGTAAAGTATTTGGAATTTCATCCTGTGGAAAGTAAAACATTTGACATTCCTAGAGCGAGATGCCATTATAAACTCTGTTAAATGAATCAGTGTTACTGTAAATTCAGTGTTTAAAATGTTCAAACTAAAGTTATCCTTGCATAACAATATAAATACAAATTTTGATGGAGCATAGTGCCATGGTAAAACCATGTTCTTTCTAAAGAAATTTATGGAGTAGAAATGTGCATGGCATTGGGTGTGCTGCAACATAATTTATCTTTGCACTCAAGTTGTCAAATAGTAGCAGTAGCTATAAAAATTTATAAATATTACAACATATACATAGTTAGAATAACTGAACTACACATTTTTTGTGAAACAACCTGATTTTGAATACAAAGCAGTATGTGTTTTTCTCCTTGCTGGCTGCCATAAGTAGGATTAGAGATATTTGAGCCTTTGAAGAAATAATTTATAAATGAATCTAAGTGCCCTATAATGGTATTGAACTCTATATAAATGAGCCTTCTAAATTTGGGCTATATTTTTCCAAAATAGTTTTGGAAAATTTCTTATCCACATTTTCAATGAATGAAAGATCAAAAAGCTCCAGTTTTCCAGACTTTCAGAAAATGGGGATTATTGGTAACAAGGTATTAAAAACAGCAAGACACTAAAATTGGTCCCCATAAAGAAAGGAACTGAACAAATTAAATGGTGAGAGCTCGGTAGAGGAAACAAGATGGTGCAGTAGAAGGACGTGCTCTCACTCCCTCTTGCGAGAACACCAGAATCACAACTAGCTGCTGGACAGTCATCGACAGGAGGACACTGGAACTCACCAAAAAAATACCCCACATCCAAAGACAAAGGAGAAGCCGCAATGAGACGGCAGGAGGGGCGCAATCACAGTAAAATCAAATCCCATAACTGCTGGGTGGGTGACTCACAAACTGGAGAACACTTATACCACAGAAGTCCACCCACTGCAGTGAAGTTTCTGAGCCGCACGTCAGGCTTCCCAACCTGGGGCTCCAGGAACGGGAGGAGGAATTCCTAGACAACCAGACTTTGAAGCCTAGTGGGATTTGATTGCAGGACTACAACAGGACTGGGGGAAACAGAGACTCCACTCTTGGAGGGCACACACAAAGTAGTGTGTGCATCGGGACCCAGGGGAAGGAGCAGTGACCCCAGGGTAGACTGAACCAGACCTATCTGCTAGTGTTGGAGGGTCTCCTGCAGAGGCGGGAGGCGGCTGTGGCTCACCGTGGGGACAAGGACACTGGCAGCACAAGTTCTGGGAAGTACTCCTTGGCATGAGCCCTCCCAGAGTCTGTCATTAGCCCCACCAAAGAGCCCAGGTAGGCTCCAGTGTTGGGTTGCCTCAGGCCAAACAACCAACAGGGAGGGAACCCAGCCCCACCCATCAACAGTCAACTGGATTAAAGTTTTACTGAGCTCTGCCCACCAGAGCAACAGTCAGCTCTACCCACCACCAGTCCCTCCCACCAGGAAACTTACACAAGCCTCTTAGCCTCATCCACCAGAGGGCAGACAGCAGAAGCAAGAAGAACGACAATCCAGCAGCCTGTGGAACAAAAACCACATTCACAGAAAGACAGACAAGATGAAAAGGCAGAGGGCTATGTACCAGATGAAGGAACAAGAAGAAACCCCAGAAAAACAACTACATGATGTGGAGATAGGCAACCTTCCAGAAAAAGAATTCAGAATAATGATAGTGAAGATGATCCAGGACCTCAGAAAAAGAATGCAGGCAAGATCGAGAAGATGCAAGAAATGTTTAACAAAGACCTAGAAGAATTAAAGAACAAACAAACAGAGAAGAACAATACAATAACTGAAATGAAAACTACACTAGAATCGATAGCAGAATAACTGAGGCAGAAGAACAGATACGTGACCTGGAAGACAGAATGGTGGAATTCACTGCTGCAGAACAGAATAAAGAAAAAACAATGAAAAGAAATGAAGACAGCCTAAGAGACCTCTGGGACAACATTAAACACAACAACATTCGCTTTATAGCGGTCGCAGAAGGAGAAGAGAGAGAGAAAGGACCAGCGAAAATATTTGAAGAGATTATAGTCGAAAACTACCCTAACATGGGAAAGGAAATAGCCACCCAAGTCCAGGAAGCACAGAGAGTCCCATACAGGATAAACCCAAGGAGAAACATGCCAAGACACATAGTAATCAAATTGGCAAAAATTAAAGAAAAAGAAAAATTATTGAAAGCAGCAAGTGAAAAACGACAAATAACAATACAAGGGAACTCCCATAAGGTTAAAAGCTGATTTCTCAGCAGAAACTCTACAAGCCAGAAGGGAGTGGCACGATATACTCAGAGTGATGAAAGGGAAGAACCTACAACCAAGATTAATCTACCCAGCAAGGATCTCATTCAGATTCGATGGAGAAATCAAAAGCTTTACAGACAAGCAAAAGCTAAGAGAATTCAGCACTACCAAACCAGCTCTACAACAAATGCTAAAGGAACTTCTCTAAGTGGGAAACACAAGAGAAGAAAAGGACCTACAAAAACAAACCCAAAACGATTAAGAAAATGGTCACAGGAACATACATATCGATAATTACCTTAAACGTGATTGGATTAAATGCTCCAACCAAAAGACACAGGCTTGCTGAATGGATACAAAAACAAGACCCATATATATGCTGTCTACAAGAGACCCACTTGAGACCTAGGGACACATACAGACTGAAAGCGAGGGGATGGAAAAAGATATTCCATGCAAATGCAAATCAAAAGAAAGCAACACTCATATCAGATAAAATAGACTTTAAAATAAAGAATGTTACAAGAGACAAGGAAGGACACTACATAATGATCAAGGGATCAATCCAAGAAGAAGATATAACAATTATAAATATATATGCACCCAACATAGGAGCACCTCAATACATAAGGCACCTGCTAACAGCTATAAAAGAGGAAATCGACAGTAGCACAATAATAGTGGGGGACGTTAACAACTCACTTACACCAATGGACAGCTCATCCAAAATAAAAATAAATAAGGAAACAGAAGCTTTAAATTACACAATAGACCAGACAGATTTAATTGATAATTATAGGACATTCCATACAAAAAGAGCAGATTACAGTTTCTTCTCAAGTGCGCACAGAACATTCTCTAGGATAGATCACATCTTGGGCCACAAATCAAGCCCCAGTAAATTTAAGAAAACTGAAATCATATCAAGCATCTTTTCTGACAACGCTATGAGATTAGAAATTAATTATAGGGAAAAAAAGTAAAACACACAAACACATGGAGGCTAAGCAACACGTTACTAAATAACCAAGAGATCACTGAAGAAATCAAAGAGGAAATCAAAAAATACCTAGAAACAAATGACAATGAAAACACGACAATCCAAAACCTATGGGATGCAGCAAAAGCAGTTCTAAGAGGGAAGTTTATAGCTATAAAAGCCTACCTCAAGAAATAAGAAAAATTTCAAATAAACAATCTAACCTTACAGCTAAAGGAACTAGAGAAAGAAGACCAAACAAAACCCAAAGTTAGCAGAAGGAAAGAAATCATAAAGATCAGAGCACAAATAAATGAAATAGAAACAAAGAAAACAATAGCAAAGATCAATAAAACTAAAAGTTGGTTCTTTGAGAAGATAAACAAAATTGAAAAACCATTAGCCAGACTCACCAAGAAAATGAGGGAGAGGACTCAAATCAATAAAATTAGAAATGGAATAGGAGAAGTTACAACAGACACCACAGAAATACAAAGCATCCTAAGAGACTACTACAAGCAACTCTATGCCAATAAAATGGACAACCTGGAAGAAATGGACAAATTCTTAGAAAGGTATAACCTTCCAAGACTGAACCAGGAAGAAATAGAAAATATGAACAGACCAATCACAAGTAACGAAATTGAAACTGTGATTAAAAATCTTCCAACAAACAAGAGTCCAAGACCAGATGGCTTCACAGGTGAATTCTATCAAACATTTAGAGAAGAGTTAACACTCATCCTTCTCAAACTCTTCCAAAAACTTGCAGAGGAAGGAACACTCCCAAACTCATTCTATGAGGCCACCATCACCCTGATACCAACCCAGACAAAGATAGTACAAAAAAAGAAAATTACAGACCAATATCACTGATGAATATAGATGCAAAAATCCTCAACAAAATACTACCAAACGGAATCCAACAACACATTAAAAGGATCATACACCATGATCAAGTGGGATTTATCCCAGGGATTCAAGGATTCTTCAGTATATGCAAATCAATCAATGTGATATACCATATTAACAAACTGAAGAATAAAAACCATATGATCATCTCAATAGATGCAGAAAAAGCTTTTGACAAAATTCAACACCCATTTATGACAAAAACTCTCCAGAAAGTGGACACAGAGGGAACCTACCTCAACATAATAAAGGCCATGTACAACAAGCCCACAGCAAACATCATTCTCAATGGTGAAAAAGTGAAAGCATTTCCTCTAAGATCAGGAACAAGACAAGGATGTCCACTCTCACCACTATTATTCAACATAGTTTTGGAAGTCCTAGCCACAGCATTCAGAGAAGAAAAAGAAATAAAAGGAATACAAATTGGAAAAGAAGAAGTAAAACTCTCACAGTTTGCAGATGACATGATACTATACATAGAGAATCCTAAAGATGCCACCAGAAAACTACTAGAGCTAATCAATGAATGTGGTAAAGTCACAGGATACAAAATTAATGCACAGAAATCTCTTGCATTCCTATATAATAATGACCAAAAATCTGAAAGAGAAATTAAGGAAACACTCCCATTTACCACTGCAACAAAAAGAATACAATACCTAGGAATTAACCTACCTAGGGAGATAAAAGACCTGTATGCAGAAAACTATAAGACACTGATGAAAGAAATTAAAGATGATACCAGCAGATGGAGAGATACACCATGTTCTTGGATTGGAAGAATCAATATTGTGAAAATGACTACACTACCCAAAGCAATCTACAGATTCAATGCAATCCCTATCAAACTACCAATGGCATTTTTCACAGAACTAGAACAAAAAATCTTAAAATTTGTATGGAGACACAAAAGACCCCAAATAGCCAAAGCAGTCTTAAGGGAAAAAAACGGAGTTGGAGGAATCAGGCTCCTGGACTTCAGACTATACTACAGAGCTGCAGTAATCAAGATAATACGGTACTGGCACAAAAACAGGAACATAGATCAATGGAACAAGATAGAAAGCCCAGAGATAAACCCATGCACCTATGGTCAACTAATCTATGACAAAGAAGGCAAGGATATACAATGGAGAAAAGACAGTCTCTTCAATAAGTGGTGCTGGGAAAACTGGACAGCTACATGTAAAAGAATGAAATTAGAACACTCCCTAACACCATACACAAAAATAAACTCAAAATGGATTAGAGACCTAAATGTAAGACCAGACACTATAAAACCCTTAGAGGAAAACATAGGAAGAACACTCTTTGACCTCAATCGCAGCAAGATCTTTTCTGATCCACCTCCTAGAGTAATGGAAATAAAAACAAAAATAAACAAATGGGACCTAATGAAACTTAAAAGCTTTTTCACAGCAAAGGAAACCATAAACAACATGAAAAGACAACCCTCAGATAGGGAGAAAATATTTGCAAACAAATCAACAGACAAAGGATTAATCTCCAATATATATAAACAGCTCATGCAGCTCAATATTAAAAAAACAAACAGGGCTTCCCTGGTGGTGCAGTGGTTGAGAGTCTGCTTGCTAATGCAGGGGACACGGGTTAGAGCCCTGGTCTAGGAGGATCCCACATGCCGCGGAGCAACTAGG